TGAACAGTTTCTGAGCTATAAGCATTTTTGCATGTCCTGACACCCCCACTTTGAAATGAGCCCCCTCCTCAAATATGGGGTGTATTGTAAAACCGTTGGTATATTCATTTTGAGTGTAAGCCCTGTCTGTGGTGATGTTTTGAATAGCCAATTTTCATAAATCGCAGTTTGCTTTGGTGTGCATGATTTGTAAAACTCCATTGTGAATATTATTTTGTTTCCTACATYTTACTCGAAGCTGTCGCATCTTTCTAATATATAATCTACTGGAGTACAATTTTGACATAAAGACAAGCTAATTTGTACCATTTTTAAGCCATTATTTTTATTGTCAGTGTGGTTTTTAGACCTCAGCAGTTAGGGCTCTACCTGAAATGTTTTAGATCATACATAGATCTCTTGTACAGGTGCACAAGGTTTTGAACATGTTCAGAATTCAAGTGATAGGCTGCCTGCTAGCCTCCAAATCATGTGAGAAAACTGAAAAGCTCCATGAATGTTTTCAGACATTTTGGAGACTTCCTCATAAATATCATTTGTCAAATTTTTATCAACAGTTGCAGCCTAGTTAGATATTAACTGAAGTGATTTTACTTAATAAATATTGCATTGAGTGACTGATTTGATTGTAAAAGAAACTGTGTAAAATAAAACTAATAGATACAAGGCTTTCTGGATTATATATTTCTAATCTGAGTTGAAGTAATACAATATAAATTATATATAATATGTTTTTTATGTTTTAATGAATCTACWGTGTCTGGTAGAACAGCAAGCTTGAAGTCCAACCCACCCACATGGAAAGACAAATAGAAAGTTTTTATATTTATTAATTTTTATATTTCACTCTACAGGATCATCATTGATTTTTGTAGAGGAAAAAACACTTTTTTTGTTTCTGTCCCTAAACTCGTATCTTAAAGAAATTCAGCTCAAAACATTCTTGGGGGGTCTGAAATGTGTTTTCATTATGAGGTCCAATGACATCAGCAACATTTATCTGTAGTCTTGCTGTCACCTGATGACAGAATAAATCTTGAAAATGGCTTTCAATGAGTCCTTGAAATCTCAAGCCAGTCAAACATAATGGCTCAATGTGTCTTTGGGGAGCAGAAGGTCGCATGTTTTCCCATCCATAACTAATTTCTAATAAACGAGCTCTTTCAGAGGTCACATTGTTTTCTGGTTATTTTCACTCTCTTGCCACACACTCTACAAAGTCATTTTCTGGCTTGAACTACAGTTTCAAAATAGGGCTTTTTTCACTTGTTTTGCCAAAATCCCATGTTTGTCTAAATAGAAATTTGTTTTTGCTGATTTTTGGCTAGTTTGGACTACTCTATACTGTGTAACTCTAAGTTAAAATACATTATTACCAATCAAATTACATGTTTTCATGGGTTTTTCGTGAGCCACAGACAATGTTAAAGAAATGGGAAAAATAACAGGCTAAGGTGTTTGTACTGGGAATCCTTAAAAACAACTTTAATTCTACTGTACGTTTGCCAAAAGCTAATAATCATAACATTGAAGTCTTAAAGTCTTATGAGTTTGAATTAGGATGTTCAAACTGTCATACAAGCAGTTCTCTGGAAATACTTTGCTTCTTGTGACCAAAGATAAACAAAAGTATCTAGATAATGTGGTCTGTAAGTTTCACTAAGGACTATACACTTTTAATTAAAAATTGTACACCTTAAATGTTTATTCTACAAAGGGCTTTAAATTCAATAGCAAATGTCAAATCTGGGAGTAAAATAAAATCCTAGTCAGAGCTTCTGCTACAACTTGAAAGCAGAAGCATGTGTCACCATATCTAACAGTTGTTGTCTTCAGAAATGAGTGTGACTGTGTGTGACCTTCCATCTGACCCTTGAGCATGCTCATTGCTCATTGACACTTTGTTTCTTTAAAATAACACAGATGCTGTGGCTCTGCCTGTCCGTGAAGCCTTGGTGTAGGTGGACAGAGCCCAGTTATTTTCATTACCACCACCTCTTGTAACCTCCCCTCACCCCACTCGACCAGCACCGCCACCCAAACACACTTAGTGTCTGTTGCTGTGAGATTCACTATTGTGAGTCACTTGATTAGCTTTTGAAGTTGATCATGTTCCAAGTTTCTTGGCCTGCAGATGAATCAGTCTGGATCGGCTTGTGTTAATCATGGATTGTCAGCTTGAGTTTCACCTGTTGGACATTGCAGCAGGGATTTACATGTCACCCATTAGTCCTTTACACATTCTTTTTAGTTTGTCACAGCTCTTTCAAGCATAATTGCATTTTCAGACCTATGCAATGATCTACAATTCAWTGCTGGTACATGTAAGTAAACGTGTGTTCAAAACGTGGAGGGGCAGCCCTCAATATGGATGAGAGGGGGTGGGGAAATGAGTTCAAATTTACTGCCTGTGTCAGCTGCGTCAAATTTGGAAAGCTCAAATGGTCAGCCTGCAAATGGCAGGGCAATACCTAAGGGTCAGTGTAACAAAGAATGTCACAGATTCTGTATCAAGGAATTAGACATCCTTTGTGTATAATCTGACTGTATGTAGTTGTTACACAGTACTGTATGTTGACAATTTGACTATAACATTTCCACTCATCTCGCCCATGTGATAGAAGTGAAGACTGAATTGATCGTGTGCTTGACTAAGATGAAAGGCAAGACAAACCAAGTGCAGTTTCATGCCAATCATGCACTTTTATCAAATCTATATTCATCTTTTGTGCATCCATAAAAGAGACCACCCACTTTCTGAACCTTTGCCTTTATTTGTGCAGGGTCAGATGAGCAAGTGGCCAGTTGCTCTTTATGGCAGAGAATTTTACGATGTGGTCAAAGCTGTTTGAAGACCATCAGTTCTCCTTTCACTGACCACAAGGGTTACTGTAGCCACAAGAAAGGTCTGAGCAGTGTTGGAGGTGAATTTTACTGCTTTGAAGTCTGCTCCAAAGTCTATAAAACAGAACTGTCTACAACTCCTAACAGGCTATAAAAAACACATACTATACATTTGTGTCTGTTGTGTAACTTTTCCACTATTACTTTATTTCACTATTTAATTCAATATTTTATTGGGATGCTACCTTTAAAAGATCACTTTTATGAAGAATAAACATTGCTCATTATAATTAATATAAGCAGAAAATATTTTGTTTAAAATGTTTTCAGAAAGAAGTTCTGATCACATTAATGAGCATCTGGAAACAGAGTGTTTTTTAAGTTAAAGAACTTTATGTTCAGTTGTAACCATAAGATATACTGAGACTGGTGTGAAAACAGCAGTTTTTTTGCCCAGGTCTTCCCACTGTTCTGCATATTGAGCTTGAGCACACCTGATTCAAATTACTGCATTCCCTTATTGCATTGTGTTGTATTGTGTTGTATACCACAAAGTGATACTTGAGTAAAAGCATCTTACTGTAAAATTACTTTTGTAAAAGTTAAAGTCTCCTCCCAGAATATTACTTGAGTAAAAGTCRAAGAGGTCCAACAAAATAGAGAGGATGTGACTGAAGGAATCCAGGTAAGTATTWACAGGTGAGTTTAGTGACATCGGCAGGAAGGATCGTACTGAGACCAGGGCTGGGTCCTCCGAAGGACCCAGAGCCTTAATTTGGACACAGCCCAACAGAATGTTTAAACACTCTTCCTGACTCTTTTTTTTTTGCTTTTGGGGTTTTATACTATTGGAATTTAAATTAAATCAACAGTGTAATGATTGTTTTAAATGTGATAATGCACGTATGTAAGAGGGACTTTTGAGTGGAAATTTATGACATATATGCCAGGTTTCTCTTTCACATTCATTGCTGACAACACCGCATTACATAAAATCTGTAAGCTTTTGCATAGTTCTTCCTACAGAAAACCAAAGTATTATGTATTGTCATTGCTCACTTCTATACCACAATAAAATAACTGTTACCTTCAGTCGTTATGAAAATGCTGTATATATCATCTAAATGCCTTGAAATTGGTCTCTTTCTCTTTAAAGAATGTCCTACCATTTCAGACACCCCCTCTTCAGCATGTCATCTCAACAGTGCTTCATGCCATTTGCAACCTTTCGTAGTAGAAATGTGCAACCACTTTYGATGAATCGTGCAAGCTACAATGATGGAATGGCGAAAGCATTACTAAAACAATGGTCTAACCTGGGGGTGCAAACATTTTTGGCAATTTTGGGAAAGACACAACCTGCAAACACTTCCTGGAGAGAGGTGAAGGAGACAAGCGCTGGAGCCCATATCCCGGGTGTGATGATTGGAGGTTTTGGTGTTTAACTTCTGCTTGGTTCCTGCTCCTAATTGCACCACCTGCGTGCAATCACCCTGAAGACATCCTGGGCTTTAAAAGTGTCTCCAGACGGATGAATCCTCGCTGATGCATAACACCGTTTTTGGTAGTGCTTAAGCCAACAATAGTTATTGAAAGTTTAAAGTTTATTGTTACTTACCTTAATGTTTTTGCTGTTCAAGGAAACCTTCGCCATTACRTCGTCTGGAGTTTTGGTCTGCCCAGGATCATCACCTAAAGGAACCAAGGAAGATTTTAAGGTCTTGCCACTCTGCCTGAAGAAACCTTTTACCTCACAAAGGAAACCTCACCTCTAAGCYGACTCGTTTTTCAGAAACCTGTATGAAAGGATTTTCATTACCTAAAATATTTGTCATTCAAGATCCAATCTTTATTGAAGAAGACTCACCTGGACTCTTCCCCTTTTTCAGATCCGGACTTGTATATTTTTCCCCTGCACCTGTAAATAAAATCACTTACCTTTTTCATTCGCCTCCTGTGTTTGGTTGGTCAGTTCCACTCATGCGCCTGACTTTCTGAGTTCATRTCACCGGGAAGTTTCAGACAAATTGGGCATGTTATTGATGAGGGTGTACTTCGAGGCGAAACACAAACCAGGAGACAAATTCAGATTTAGACTTGAACATTTACAGGGGGACAATGAAACTGGCTACGTTCACACTGCAGGTCAATGCTCGGTTCCGAATTTTTGAAAAAATAATCTTTTTGTGTGAACGTTCACATTACATTTTAAATGTGACCTGCATCAGACCCCTGTGTGAACGCTACACAGCACTGATGTGACACACATGCGCAGTAAAAGACGTGACGTCTCATCAGCCGGCTTGTTTGTTTACAGAGCTAGCATGGATGCTACATTTTGCGCATCGAATCTGAAGTTGTTGTTTAATCAGAACTGATTAAATAATTATCTGACCTGCTTCTTTAGTTCAGTGTTTATATCTGAACCTGCCTCTGACCAGGATGTTCCAGTGAAGTTTGTTTTTTTGAACGAAACTACGAGCTGGAAAAAAGTATCGACCGAGTATCGAACTTTAGGATCGATACTCTCTGCGACCCAGGCTGAACATCGTTATTATCATACTATCTACGTGGAAAATGAAAAGTAAAAAGAAGAAGCAACTGGACTTGTGTTTGGAGCTGTAAACACATGGAGCTACAGATTTAAACAGCGAGACTTGAGGTTAGTGTCTTATCGATCCTTCACCCACACCTCCTGATGAAAAAGTCAGATGAATGTGACATGAGCGTTCACACTGCAGTCACTTTGAAAACATCAGATATGTATCCGATTTAAAACCACATACTGAAACGGCCTGGGTCGGATTTGAAAAAATCGAATTTGTCGCGTTCAGACTGTCATAAAAAAATCGGATATGAGTCAGATGGGTCAAAAAAAATTGGATTTGGGTCGGATTTTCCTGCAGTGTGAACGTAGCCACTGAAACACCTGGTTTTAGACCATAACATCCCTTTCAGACRGCTTCCTCTTGCGTCCACAGTTAATCCTGTTGGATATGGTTGGTCCTTCTTGGTGGTATGCTGACATTACCCTGGATACTGTAAGAAAATATTGTTAAACGTGTTTGTTTACCATGTTATGTGCTTGAATCACACCGGAAATGTACAATGCATGGAAATTGAATATAAGAGTGCATACAACCACACACAGATCTGCTTGGTCTGAAGGCATTTAATGTTGTGCATTCAGGCCCCGAAAATCCAGAAGTCAGTTTAATATAACAGAGCCGAGACATGACTCCACCTATTTTATTACATCATCAGGAAGGGGTCCCTAACCTGCTTGAGGCATGCCTCCAGACAATAATAATCTACTCTAATGCAGATTAACATTTCTGTTCTGTGTAGAATCTGTGTTCAGGCATGTATCTATATATATAAAATCATGAATTTAAGCAAAATAGTCACATTTAACAATTATAAGATTATACCATGTGTAGTGTAATTAAGATAAGTATATAAGCAAACCCCAATAAATTTCTTCAGTACCGTGGCTCTTGATACATCACAAAGACTTGCTGTCTTGGTCACAGATGCACCAGCAAGACGTGCACCAACAATTTGTCCTCTKTTSAACTCTGGTATGTCACCCATAATGTTGTGTGCATTGCAATATTTTGAGCAAAACTGTGCTCTTACCCTGCTAATTGATCCTTCGCACTCTGTTCTTACTGGTGCAATGTGCAATTAATGACGACTGGCCACCAGGCTGGTCCAATTTAGCCATGAAACCTCTCACACTAAAATGACAGGTGTTTCAGTTTCATTGTCTAACCCCTGTAATTGCAGAGAATAAAACCAAACAAAAACCTTTAGCTGGACCAATATACAGACCTTTTTTCAGTCTCAGGATATTTTGGTAACGAATCACAGAACGTATGCTGGACACAGAAGTCCAGTTGATTTGTCTCTGTTCTTTTCATTCCCCATGTCTTAGATGACTGAGAATCTATAATTTSTGTCATGTAATCAGAACTTTGAGACACACTAAAGAAGACTCATGCATTTCCTGATATCACTGTTGTCCCACAGTAACACACAACTAGTCGAGAACCTAAAGGTGAAGCCCCTTCTCCATTTGCAAGCCTCACTCCATTCGGTTCTGCTCAGATGTGTGTCTGCAACACTCTGTGGGCGTGATTATGGGTGGACCGTCAGCAGCGGCTTCAGCTGTTGTGGTTAAAAAAATAGATAAAAATGCCATTGCAGTTGTACCGTTCTGACTTTATTTATTATTTGTCACAATGCTGTTTATAAGTGTTCATGTAACTGTAGGCGGCCCGTTCAAAACCTTCTGCGATATCTGCTCGGCTTCATCTCCTTCACTTCTCTCCAGGAAGTGATTGCAATTTCTGCCTCTCCCAGGTTGGACCATGGTTTTATCACTGCTTTCCAAAACAAAATTGTCTCTCTCCAGGAGGAAGTTTGCACAAGTAATGCCTTTTCTCTGTCAAACCACCAGAGAGGAGGTTCTGGAAGTGCACGGTTGGAACAGAAATGGAGACACGTTTGGTTGAACTGAGCAGAGCAGCATACAGTCGAACTGGTGGAGGAGGGGCTTGAGTGTTTAACATTTGATTTGTTTTATATTTTCACTGAAGCAAATGTTTTAGATTCTTTAATGCTTTTTTGCATCAAGGTCAGAATAACTGAAGATAGCAGTCACTGATTTTTGTTTTGTTTTTATGATATTTTTGACCTGAGAGAGATAATTTCTCTTTACCAGAACACCGTTTAGAGTTCAGACTGGATGAAAAAGTCAATGTGCCTTTTTTTTAGCTTTATAGTGAAGTTACAGTTCATGACCCACAGGCAGTCATTTGTTTTCCTGTGCCTGCTTCTGAGTAGGGTATTGGTGAGTAAAAAACAAACAATATGAACAATAATTTGGCCTTTTTTCATGTTGCACCAAACACATACTAAATTGTGATATTCATGCCCATGTTTGTATAAAACATTATGTAGGCATGCAGTTAAACTTTCAATAACCAGTGGAGTCATGTCTGCTGGTCCCTGATACACTGCTGAAAGCAGACTGACACGTCACTGTGGCCTAACTCCAGCATTCAACAGTTTTATTGCTCTTGACAGGGTGGCATAAGTGGTGGGGGTCAAAAGAACGTGAGAAGATCAAGCTCCAAAAGCTGGAGGAAATTCAGTGTCCTGTTGATCATAAATGGRATGTTGAATAAATGTTATGAGGAGAATTAAAAGGCATTTTTGTTTGTATACGTTGCTTGTCTGTGTGCATTTTTTGTTAGCAAAATATCTTATACTGAATTTCAAAGAAACCCTTTTATTGGATGTACATCTACACCTAGCTTTCAGAGTCAACCCAATACAATATAGAAAACACAGTTAATTGATAAGAAYTGATAATTAATAAGAGCTAGTTGATATTGAGAGGTAGGGAGTTTGTCCTGTAACAAGTAGGTTGCTGGTTCAAACCCCTGTTTGGTAGCATATATGACCCCTGCACATATGCAAAGCACCCAAACACCAGAACTCACATATGGGTTACAGCTGTTTAAGATGATCTGGCATTTCAGAATCAGAATACTTTTATTCATATATTTATATAAAAGGTGACTTTGGATCAKTCATTACAAATAAAATATTTTCTTGATGGAAAACAAAAAACATATGTTCTTGGTTGTCTGTTTGAGTAGACCAGGGGTGTCAAACTCATTTTCASCAAGGGYCACATGAGACCTCAAAGGGCCAGTTKYAGTTAACTTTAATGTTGCATGTTTAACTTTGACTRAACACAAAATGTCACATTTCTCATCCCATTGCTACAGCTGAGCACCAYTAACAAACAATAATAACCACCTTCTTTAGGYAAAGTGTGTGAAGTGTCTTGCCCAAGGATACAATGACTGAGACAGCTGGAACAGGGGGTCGAACCGGCAACCCACCAGTTGCAGAACAACTCTCCTGACCTGCTACAGCCCTCTGCGATATTTTCTACACAGAAACATTTTAACATGTTCTCTTAAAAAAATGTAAAGTACTAAGTGTACGACTGACTGAATGCAAAAATAAATAATACAGAAATACTATGAAAAGTAAAACTAGGAGAGTTTTACTCACTGAGTTGTGGTGAGTAGCTGCTGCCATCTTGAATTCTGAACTCYCCCACTAGAATTCCCAGCATAATCAACATGCATTATGGGAGATGTAGTTYATGGTTGATGCTGGCTTTAAAGCAGTTTATTTTAAGTCATTATTATTGAGCTATCCAACTAAACTGCTCTGTTAAAGCCAGCAGCTCATGGGGAGGACAAGTATTAATATCTTTCACCTTTTAAATTTGTTTATTTTGTTGTATTTAATCATAAATTTAAAGTTTACCATTGATATGATTTTCATATAAAGTAAAAAAAAATCTATAAATATATACTGTATATAAATAAATGTTAGTCTTATCTTATGGGGGTGGGGTGCTGAATGGGAGTCACCCTTGAGTTTGACACATGAAGTTGAGTGATAATGAAACAATTTTCACATGATGTCATGTGTAGCACAACAAATACACAGGGTTTTCCACTGCATGCATGTAAACTGAAAATGTTAATGGGCTCATTCTGTACAACATATGCAATTCTAGCTCACAGTATAATGAGCTTTAACAAATACATGCATTTTTAAATCTCCTAGAGCATAGCAACCTGCAGTATATGGACTGTAACAAATAATTTTTGAGTGCATATATTTTGTTACAATTTAGGGTGGTAGTAGCTGAGATTAAGTTGCAATAAATGCTCCAAGTGAATGTGTTGATTAAAACTTTGCCATTAACATTTGGCATCAAGCCTTTGCGTCGGTTGGAAAAACATCTGAGTGGATGGGTTTTAATGAAACTTTGGGAGCCAATAAAGAAAGCYACCACATCCAACACAAAAATGGCTGCTTTTTTTTTCTTCTTCTTTTGCTGCTTCCTTCTGCTGGTGTCACAACAGCTAACAAACTTGCATGATAAGTGGGCAGCAGTAGTTTTTCATAGAGTACCCTCCYGGACAGAACCTGGGCTCAAACCTGAAGCCTCAGGAGCAAGAGTGTAACTTTAGGTCTACCGCTGGGGCAGGGGGTGGTGGGTATGCTCTTTGCTTATCTATTTATTGGTTTATTCATCGAACAATTTACTTTTGCAAAAATGATTCAGGATATTTTGAGGTTACATATACTGTAATGCTTTTACTGCGATTTACTTAAATTTCCGGTTTTCTTTGTATATTCTACTCAGCGTCAGTTCAACAATAAGGCTGACTTTTTACCCCATTTTTTTTCCAACAGTAACAAATATTTTACATTTTTAGGAAGTTATTATATGACATACCTAATTTTTTTTAAATTTCCAAGAGAATGTGTTTACTTATGTGTTATGTGTACCTAACCAGTTAATTTCTATTGTATTAGAGCAAATTAGGTGATTTTATTGGGGTGGGTTATATTGACTCAAATTAATGTAGGGGTCATAACCCCTATAACCCCCCACCACCACCCATTATGCCCATACTCAGGAGTGAGGCAGTGATCACCCAGTTACCACAGGTCCGATGCAAGGATCACGTTAGATTTTTCATTATATTAGATGCAAAAAAAAAAAACCCCACACAAGTTTTTAAAATGCTATATTTCCTATTCTTCATAACCTATAGCATTCTATACTCACCGGCCACTTTATTAGGTACACCACGCTAGTAACGGTTTTGTGGTCATAAAGGGATKGACATGGTCAGCAACAATACTCAGGTAGGCTGTGGCGTTGCAACGATGCTCAATTGGTACCAAGGGGCCCAAAGAGTGCCAAGAAAAGATTCCCCACACCATGACACCACCACCACCAGCCTGAACCGTTGATACAAGGCAGGATGGATCTATGCTTTCATGTTGTTGACGCCAAATTCTGACCCTACCATCCGAATGTCGCAGCAGAAATCGAGACTCATCAGACCAGGCAACGTTTTTCCAATCTTCTCTTGTCCAATTTCGATGAGCTTGTGCAAATTGTAGCCTCAGTTTCCTGTTCTTAGCTGAAAGGAGTGGCACCCGGTGTGGTCTTCTGCTGCTGAAGCCCATCTGCCTCAAAGTTCGACATGTTGTGTGTTCAGAGATGCTCTTCTGCCTACCTTGGTTGTAACGGGTGGTTATTTGAGTCACTGTTGCCTTTCTATCAGCTCGAACCAGTCTGCCCATTCTCCTCTGACCTCTGGCATCAACAAGGCATTTCTGCCCATAGGACTGCCGCTCACTGGATGTTTTTTCTTTTTCGGACCATTCTCTGTAAACCCTAGAGATGGTTGTGCGTGAAAATCCCAGTAGATCAGCAGTTTCTGAAATACTCAGACCAGCCCTTCTGGCACCAACAACCATGCCACGTTCAAAGGCACTCAAATCACCTTTCTTCCCCATACTGATGCTCKGTTTGAACTGCAGGAGATTGTCTTGACCATGTCTACATGCCTAAATGCACTGAGTTGCCGCCATGTGATTGGCTGATTAGAAATTAAGTGTTAACGAGCAGTTGGACAGGTGTACCTAATAAAGTGGCCGGTGAGTGTATATGTCTTTAGTTTGTTAGARTTTATTATGAGCTGGAAGAATAATTACTAAACAATTCATTTTTTCAAGAAAATAAAGTGTGTGGGTCAGCTTAACATTACCCCACTGGCTCTTTATTTAAAAATAATAATCTACAGTAAAGATCAAAACAGACTGAGAAGTAATGGGACAAAACTTCGATTTTATTGGTTCTGATTTTAAACTATTATTTTTTTGCGCTTGTTTGCCTCTATTAAACGATCAAAAGAAGGGGGGCAGGGTGTTGAGGGTGGGGGGTTCCTGTGCTGTGCCCACCCTCAAAAGCAGAAGTTCAGGGAGGGTCTTTTGTTACATTTAATCAAAGAGCCTTTACATCACGGTGTGGCAGAGCGTGTTTTTCTCCCCTCTCCTGCTCCCAAACCTGGAATGAATCCCTCTCAATGATGCAAAGAAAACYCTCCGAAGTTTTCTGGAATGGATGCGTTTGCTTTTCATTCGCTGCTTCTTGGATTTACTGAGAACCACGGTCAGGATCTGAGTCCATGTGAGTTGTGACGATTGATGGGCATCAGARGAGCAGCTCTGCCCATCCTTGTGGCATCCCTCTCTGCCTCAAGTGTTGCTCGGATGAMACGGGGAGCAGGATGTATGGAATAAACCAGCGCAGTTTTTACCTGTAAGGACTGACTGCGCACTCACGTTGACCCYAGAAATTGATTTCGCTGCACTCATGTGTTTATTTTTGCTTCCGCAGATCTTTAAATTTTTTTGTGYTGTGCTACAACGTTCAGGTAAGACACCCTAGTTTTAAACAAAATTAAAAAAATTTGCATTAATCATTTCTGAGTGCTATACTTAAATATAACTGAGCCACATTGGAAGGGCCCGTTATAGGCTTGTGAAGTCAGCGAAGAAAATAAATAAACAATGCATTAACGTCAGATTAGAGAGAAAAGACACGATTATGTTTTATTTTTCCCTTTGCATAAAAAAGGGGGAGAATCACCCGTCTCCTAATTTTAAGCAGTATGTGAGGACGCAGGGCGCAGCGACGGACCAGCTGAGCCGCAGACAGGTCCGGGTCTACCAGCTGTACAGCCGCACCAGCGGGAAACACGTCCAGATTCAGGACAAGAGAGTCACCGCCACCGCTGAGGATGGAGACCTGTACGGTGAGCTGCAGGCCTGCTGACTGCCTTTTAGCTACAGTAAAAGTAATCCAATAAACAAAACAAAACTTCAAAGTGCTGAAATTAAAATTACATAATAAACAATTTTTTTTCAGTTCCACTTTTGTTGGAAATTAAACTTACGTTTAATTTATGTTACTTGTGCTGCATCAAAAATGAGTTATATCATTAAAAAATCCAATTATAATCAATTTATTTCTTTTGGGTGTTCAGATCAGAGGGTCCAGAATATTTCAAACATTTCTGACAAGTGGGCAGGGAATAAATGGGAGGTATCAAGGGGTGCAATAACAGAAAATTCACGATTCAGCTCTGTTCGATTGTTTAGTGTCACGGTTCGATATTTTTTCAACCGATTTCCATGTCCTTCTTAACTTGTAAATKATTGAAATTCATCGTGAACATTTGTTTAACCTCAAAAGTACAGTTTTTAAATTAAATGTAGCTGAAACAGCAAGTTTCTCAGTGGATCTGTGCTCAACAATACAGGAGCAGTTAAACACAGATCCACTGATCCTTCAACTCAGAGCATCTTCAGAAGACAAGTTAATAAAATAAATAAAAAAATCTGTATTGTTCCATACATAGTGTGTATTGAACCTAAAGCATGATTGAATGGTTCCATACAGATACATGTATTGTTGCACCCCTACAAATAGATACAGTGGATGTGGACCAGTTTGTAGCTACATTTATGTCCAAATGTGTGTGTGCATGTAATTGCTACATCGTGGGGACCATTGTCCAGAAAAACACAGCCTTTTGGGGTTCAATGTGGACCAAAGCCTGCATGGTCCCCACTGGTATAAATGCTGATTTTGGTTGGGACGGAGGGGGGATTACGTTTAGTGTAAAGGATCAGTGCTAGGCTATAGAAATGACTGTAAAATTTAAGGAAAGCAATGCAAAGTCCTCACGAGGATAGAAAACACACACACACACACACACACACACACACACACACACACACACACACACACA